ACTGCGAAGTCATTTAAAACTCCCAAAACTGGAGCACGTGTCACGCACGATGCCACTAAGCCACAAAAATTACATTTCTGTCATGTACATCATGACGACCATCACATGTGCGAGCGCCCTAGAAGTTGCACTAATATGCCAAGGACCTGGGATTGGCCAAACCATCCTGTACAAATTCATAATCCAACCTCTTAGTAAAACTACTACAGCCAAAGTAGCAGTAACAGTACTACACAGTAAGTGTCATCAACCCCAATGCTACACAAGCTATCATACTCAAACCTGCCCCACGTTAAGCAGGGGGACCATGTCAGCCAACAGTGCTTTAGACTTGGTGTGATGCAGCAAACTAACGCAGACTGCCAGCACCTGGAAATTATACTGTCCCCTGCTCCCCCCAGTATAAATAGATAGCAATGGATTATTGCACTAGGTACTAGGGAGATCTGGTGATCCAGTGAGCTTTCCTGAAATGCAGTCCTTAAATACACGCCCGTTATGGTGAGGTTAGCTAAGGCAAGAGTTTGTGACTGGCAACCTCAGTGCTCGGGAAGAATCAGAACAAGGAAGATGCATAACGACCCCTTGCCGGTTCTCCAATACGATCAGTGCTGCTCAGGTATGTGAAGCAGGCTGTGGCTGTGACAAAAGGGGTGTGTCCACGGTTTAACTTCATAATGGGTATCCACTGCCAGTGGGCATTTGCACTGAAACACCAGCCTGGATTTGATGAGGCTGGTCTACACCAGGAAGGCTGAGAGGCGTGAGAAAAAGCAGAGAGAAGCGTGGTTGTTTAGCTAGGAGAGGAGAAGACTCTGGAGGGGGTCAAATACCTGAAGGCAGGTGACACCACGGGTGGACACGGACTGTTCTCTGTGGCCATGGGAGACAGGACAAGAAGTGTCAGTTTCCATTGCAACAAGGGAAATTCAGGTTGGAGACCAACGTCCTCACTGCGAGGCCGGCTCGACACTGGAACAGGCTGCCCAGAGAGGCCATGGGCTCTCCCTCTGTGGGAGATTTAGGTTGGAGAGACATAGAGTTGAGCTGGTTCGGACAGGGGTGAAGCTGCCTTGAGCAGGGGCTGGACCAGATGTCACCCCCTCAGGGCCCTGCCAGCCCCACATTCCCTGCTCAGGACACCTTGGCAAAGCCTCAGTGTCATAGCCACATGGGGCCACCCAGCCCGATCATCTCTGCCAGGCCATCCCTGGAGCCCAGCCTCTGCACGCAAGCCCAGAGCTCAGCTGGCCCAAGAGATCGGTCTGTGTTCTCATTTTACAAATGGGGAAACCAATGCCCAGAGCAATGGCATGACCTGCCACCACAGGCCAGTCTGGGAAGGGAAGGACAAGAGGGCTCAGCTGCTGAAAGCCCAGCTGGGCTATGCAGGGAAGCGGTGCTTGGCAGACACTGTCTACAAGTGCCAGGTCCGTGCTAAAGCCCACCAGAGGGAAGGGACGGATCCATCATCCCAGAGCACTTGGGAGGAGGATGGATGGGCAGAGATACAGCAGCCCGCAGCGTCCAGGATCTCTGGCTTTCTCCCCCTGGCCGTCAGGGGGTCCACTGAACGTGCCTCACTAGCAACATCCCTTGGAAGACCCCTTAGACGTGGGCATGGACATGGGCATTGTGGCAGAAAGCCACCTTGGTTTCTCCCCAAAAATCTCTGCCCTGTGACACTGTGATTTAAATCTCTGTGCTGTGACCATTCAGTTAGGATGGGCCCAGCACACAGGGGACCACCCCTCAGCCTGTCTCTGTAGGGAACTGGAGCTGGCTGCATTCCTGAGGGAGGGGAAAACCTGCTCCCTCTGCCTACGTGACTTGCATCACTTACCTGGGTAAGGGGTTTCTACCTGGGGAGCTGGAATCTGCC